CACTTATTATAAGATAGCACCACATCAATTCTTGAAGGTCTTCCTGAGTCCGTCTTTTTCGATGGGAACGATTTGTCTCCTGAACTGGGCTCCGGTGACTAACATCTTTGGAGTGGCCAGGGTCAGAAGCAGTGAAATTCACGTTCTCGTCGAGCTGCCTCAGGTCGACAGTAGAACAAGATTTTGTTTTTGGTTCTTACTTTGTCTTGTTCTCATTTTTTTTCTCTTTTTAAGCCAACAGCACGTGGCGTTCTCAAACGGTCACCCATCCAAGTTTGCACCACGCCCGATGCTGCTTAACTTCGGTGATCGTACGGGAACCGGTGTGACCAGCACGCTATGGCCGTTGGCTTTATTATTATTATTATTATTATTATTATTATTATTATTATTACTTTTATTAATAATTAAAAAAAAATTGGGGGGGAAAGGTAAAAGGAATTTCATTGAAAATTTTTTTTTTTACAATCGAAACTTTTTTAATTTTATGTTTTCAATTTTCTAATAAAAAAATTTTTTTTTTTTGTTTTTGTTTTCCTTCTTCTTTCTTTCTCTTTTTGCGTCAAATTAAAAAAAAAGTTTGTCAATTTAAAAATGTCTTTACAACCGACCTCGATATATTTATATGTAATTAATAATGATAATAATTACTAATAAAATTTTATTGGTTAACATAAAATACAACAAATATTAAAACCACAATAAAAAAAAAAGGAAAAAACTTTTCCGTTTCGACATCATTTCCGGTATTTAAAAAATTTTTGCAATTATTATTATTATTATTATTATTATTATTATTATTATTATTATTATTATTATTATTATTATTATGTTTACCATTTGACAAAATCAAAAAGTCTTTAAAAACCCCAACAATCGGTTGCTTTTTGTTTCGAAAACCAAAAAAAATAAATAAATAAATAAATAAATGTTAAAAAAAGGTAATGGAAACAAACAAAAAACAAACAAACAAACAAACAATCGAGTAAAAAAATAAACCCTTATTGTGATCTCTTGTAAAAAAACGGTATATTTTTTTATTCGGTTATTTTTTGGTTTTATCGTGGCAGAAGACGATGAATACGACGACGTATGTAAAGGTTTCGTAGGAGAGAAAAATAAAACGAAGAGGAAGTGGAAGATTTAGAGAAAGGTGTTGTGGGAGAGAGGCAAAAAAGAGATAGAGGGGAAGGAAAAAGAGAGGAAAAAGGGGGAAGAGAGGAAGGAGGGGGAAGGGGGAGAGAGGGAAAAAAAATTCAGTTTATTACAAAGTTGAAAATTTTTTTTTTTTAATAACCAAAACGTAAAAAGTCCTTAATAAATTTCATTAAATAGAAGAAAAGTTAAAAATGATAAAAAGGTTAATGGATATAAAGAATCTCATCGGGTTTTCAACAACAAAAACAACAACAAAAAAAATATTCGTAAATCATTATTGTTCAGTTTCGAATTAAAACTTTATTCATAATTTATTTTTATTTTCCCGCCTTTTTTTTTTCAAAAAAAAAAAAGGATAATTCAATTAAATCATATTTCAAATCAATTTAAAAAATTTTATGTTTTTTTTTTCCACGTAAAAACGAAATTGAAATTATTTTTAAATCTTACGACAAAAATCAAAGAATTTTCTTTTATAATAATAATAATAATGATAATAAAAAACCGCTATAATTTACTATAATTATTTTATAATTGAAATTATAGTAACTCCCAACAAAAAAAAAAACAAAAAATTTTACAACAACAACAACAAACATTTTATTACATTTAAAAAACTCATCATCGTCATCAGCATCTTCATCATCATCACCATCATCATCATTATCATTACAGTCGTAGTCGTCATCACCATTGACGTCATCATCCATTTTAACTTAATTTAAACTTTTTAAAATTTTTTGTTTTTTTTTTATTTTCTTCCGGATTTTTATGAATTCATAACAAAAAAAAATTTAATAATCCAGAATGATCAATTTTCAAATAATAATAATAAATATTATTATTATTATGATTGAGTGCCGTCGTCGTCGTCGTCGACGCAGAAGAAGGAATAGTAGTAGTGGTAGAGGAGGTAATCCTCGTCATAATAATCGTTTGTTGTTTGTTTCTGCAAGTGACAACCAAAATGTGTGATTTTGTTTTATTTCATAACGCAAATCTTTCTCTCTTTCACTCTCTCTCTCTCTTTCTTTCTCTCTCTCTCACTCACTATTTCGTTAAATGTGAATTTTGGAAAATAAATTTTTTATCAAAAATTTCACCTCTTGTTTTTATCATCATCATCATCATCATTATTATTATTATTATCTATCATCTATTGAAACGTCAAACAAATAATAAAATATCTTACGGTTATTCTCCGTGTGTCTCTAATTATTATTATTATTATTATTATTATTATTATTATTATTATTATTATTATTTGTCTAAATGGTTTTCGTTATGCCTTTTCATCCATCATCAAATTCAATAAACGTGTTTTTGTGTTTTGTATAAAAGGGAAGGAATCCTTTCCCTTAATAATTATTCATTGTCCAGTTAAAAAAAAGAAAAAAATTTTTTTTTTTCGCAGGTGTTTCAAACGTTCAAACCGGAAGTCAAAATGCCGTTACAAGCGATTTAGATCCAGATTTTACAAATGCAATAACAAACGTTACCGTACCCATAGGTAGAGAAGCCATATTGTCTTGTTCCGTATCGAATCTCGGACACTTTAAGGTAAGTAATATATTATATTATTATAATTGTGGTAACACTGATTAGTTCAAAACCGTTAATTATTTTTTATTCTTTCCTTTCCCCCTCTCCTAGGTCGGATGGTTGAAAGCAGAAGATCAAACGATATTAACGCTACACAATAAAGTCGTGACACATAATTCGAGAATAAGCGTGACACACGATAATGCAAACACGTGGCAATTAAGAATAAGACAAGTTAAAGAATCCGATCGTGGTTGTTACATGTGTCAAATAAATACAAACAAAATGAAAAAACAATTGGGATGCGTCGACGTGCACGGTAAGTCGTTTGTCGTTTGTTCTTTTATTTTTTCATCACAATTAAAAAAATCGTTAAACGTACGTTTCAATGACGTCACAACTCATCAACTTTCGAAATTTAATTTTTTTTCGTGCTATTATACGTTTTGGAATTTTTCTTGAAATTTCCAAAAAAAAAAAAAAAAAAATTCCAGTTTTATTTATTTTAATTAAAAACTAGAGAGAGATCAGGTGTTGATTTAAAAAAAAAATTTTTCCTTATTTCCGGTTTTCCTCCTCTTCAGTTTCCGCTTCATCCGCCGCCATTTAACACGAATAATTGATTAAATAAATAAAAATAAGAAAAATTGTTTTTTAGTAAAAAAAAACTGCAAAATTTTTTTCTTTTTCTTCTTCTTCTTCTTGTTTTTACTGAAAGTAAAAAAGAAGGGGGAAAGGGGAGGGAGAGGGTTGGAAAAAGAAAAATGAAAGAGAGAAAGAGTTGAAGAAGAAGAATTATATATATAAGAACATTTTTTGGAATGAGAAACATTGTCGGTGATGGCGGTGGGGAGGTGGGGGGGTGCTGGTGGGGGCGATGGTAACTGTTGTTGTAGTCGTGGTAGTAGTAGCACCACTTGTAGTCTTAAAGAAATAAAATTAATTTAAAAATAAAATTTTCAAGCACTAACAAGAAACGAGATTCCAAAAAAAAAAAAAATGGCGACAGCTATAAAATATGGAGTCTAATTTATAATCCTCGCGAAAATCTTATTTCGCGACTGATCATTTCTTATTCAATCCAAATTTATTTTTATTTATTTTTTATTTTTTTTCTTGTCGAGAGAAGAAAACAAACAAGCCGACAAACAAGAGAAGAAAAAAAATTTTCTTCTTCTTATTTTTCATCTTTTTTTTTTTTCATTTTCATCTTGAAATTTATTTGAAATTTTTTTTTTTTTTGTAAAAAAAACCTGCGAAAGGTAAACGGGAAGAGGGGGGAGGGGAAGGGGGTGAAAAAAAGGGTTTGAGACTGGAATGAATTTTTTGTTTTTTTTATCCCAGTTTTTCCATTCGAGGGAAAAATAGTTCGAAATCGCTTTGTAAATTAAAAAAAAAAAAAAAAAGGATATTCAATATACATGTAAATGAATCTTATCCGTCCAAAAAGAATTTCATTTGTCCAACACATTACAATAATAAAAATTATTATTATTATCATTTTTGCGCGGGTGTGTGTGTGTGTGTGTGTGTGTGCGCTCACGTTCGGGTGCCTTTATTGACGTTTTGCAGATTGATTTCCTATCCCTCGATTCCTCGAAACGATATAAATCGATTCGAACGATTAATCATAACCACCACACTCATGAATAATCATGAAATTTTGCCTTTTTTTTTTTTTTATTATTATTTATATATGTTTGTTTGTTTGTTCGTTTGTTCGTTTGTATATTTATGTCTACATTTTTATAAATGCATTCGCGGAATTCATTTTTTTCTTTTCCGATTCTACATTTCACGCGCGTTTTTTTTTTTTTTTAAATTTAAATTAACCAATTGAATTTTTTTCCTACTTTTTAATAAATGAATGAAAAAATTTTTTATCATGAGATTTAAACGTTACTAAAATTATCAACATTACCATCACCATCATCATCATCATCATCATCATCATCATTATCATCATCATCATTATCATTATTATCATTATCCTTATCGAATTAAAAAAAAAAAAAGTTCAAATGTTACAATATCCCTGATGCAATAACATAATACACTTAATGTTATTAACGTCTTGCGTTAAATTTTTTTTTTTCCGGTTTATTTTCGAACGTCGTCCATTTTGTTTTTTTTTTTTAAACAAGGGGAAGAAAGAGAAATTAAAAAAGGAGAAAAGAAAAAAAGAAAAAAAAAGTAGGTGGAACTGGGGAAAAAGAAAATCTTTGACATTTGTCAATAGTGTTGTAATTACAATGAAATTTTTATGTTAAAAATTAGTACGTGGGAGGAAGAGGAGGAAACAATGGTGCCAACACAAAAAGATTTAACACTCAATTATTTACTATCAACTTACTTTCGCGTCATTAGCAGAAGGCAATTTAAATTTTCTTTTTTTTTTTCTTTACACGCGTGCGCGTTTTACTCTCCGTTTTTTTTTTTTTTAAAAAAAAAATCATCTTTAAATTTTTTAATAAATTTTACATTTAAAAAATTATTATTATTATTATTATTATTATTATTATTATTATTATTATTATTATCGCACAACAACCGGAAACGCCGATTCGGAATGTTAAAAATGCAAAAAAAAAATTTTTCTTTAATCAAATTACGTAAAAGTGATTTTTAAAAAAAAAAAAATGTCAATCCTGCCTCTTTTCCCCCTCCCTCCCCTCCTCCACCCGAACGACGATGACGTCGTCGTCGAAACCGTTTTTAATCATTTTAAGGGTCAAAGTTCACACTACATCGAAACGTTTTCGAATTAATAACCATCAAATCATTTACGACGAAAAAAACGCAAAAAAAAAAAATGGCGGTTACCACGTATGCTAAATATAATTTATCACACGATGTATGTTTCTTAAGGTTTTTCTTTTTCTTCGTCGTACGAATAATAATAATAATGATAATTGTTTTTATATTTAAATTAAATGTGAAAAGGAGGAAGGAAAATGTTCACTTATTATAATAATAATATTACTTAAAAGGATAAAAAAAAAAAAATTTTTGTTTTTTACTGTTTTTAGAATCAAAAACAGAGTTAAAAACGGTTAATTTAAAATTGTTAATGACCGTTAAAATCTTGTTTTTTAAGTGAGGTCAAAACTAAAAACAGAAGCAGAAGAAACACGCAAAAAAAAAGAAAAAGAAAAAAAATCTTTTTCGTTGGAAAATTTTCTGGTAGTACTACGCAGAGAAATTTTTAGTTTCCTTAAAGGCAAGACAAAAAAAAAAAAATAATAAAAAAGTTTTTCTCTTATTCTCTCTCTCTCTTTCTCTCACGCACGAACGCACATTCTCGCATTATCATTCTCTTTCTCTCTCTCTCTCACTTCCGTTTTCCATTTTTATTATTCGTTAATGTCATTTGTTCTCCATTGAAATTTAAAACATTATCATATCGGAGACATCGTCGTTAAAAATTGTCGCGAATATTTTTCTTACGTCACGACAAGGCTCCTGCCACCACCTCCACCACCACCATCACCATCGTCACCATCGTTACTGTCGTCGTCCTCATTTTTCTGACGACCTGGAAAAAACTTTTTTATAAAAAATTTTTTAGTCCGAAATTTATAATGGAAGGAAACTCGTTTGAATTTATTTAAAAAAAAAAAGGAAAACAAGTCGAAAGAGAAAGAGAGAGAGGAAGAGAAAGAGAGAGGAGGAAGAGAGAAAGGGAGAGAGAGAGAGAGAGAGAGAGAGAAATAATTAGCATTCGGTTAGAGAAAATTACATTTTAAAAAATAATATTTAATGCATGTTACGTCAAAATCAGAAAACTTATTATTTGATCTTTAAATTTTCTTCTGCTTTTTCTTCATCCCCCCTCCCCTCCTTTTTTTTCGTCACTTTTAACAAAATTTTAACTTAACCTTTTTTTCAGTATTATTATTATTATTATTTTAGTAATTCGTCGTGATTTCTTTTCTTTTTTTTTTAAGGGGAAGGGGGATGAAATTTAACAAACCAAATCATGATTATTCTTTTTATTTTTCTTTCTCTTTATCTCTCTCTCTCTCTCTTTTAACTTTTCATTCATCAAATTTATTTTTTTTTGATTTCATTTTATATTTTTTTTTTTTTTTTTAAAAATTTACATCAATATTTATGAGAGAATTTTTTAAAAGTTTTGATTAAAAACTAACGATGACGATGACGACGACGACATTTTTCTTTTTTCCTTCCCCACCCCCCCAAATCGGTAAAATTTTTCGTTTCTTTTGTTTTTTTTTGTTCTTTGTTATCTTCGTTTACTTTTTATTCTTCAAATTCTATTATTATTATTATTATTATTATTATTATTATTATTTTAAAACCGTTAATAAAATATTTAAATCTTAACCTGTAATCGGAAAAACCTTCTCTCTATCTCTCTCTCTCTCTCTCTTTTTCTTCTTTTATGACAATATTAAAAAGTTTAAACCGCGATTGAAACCAAAGGAAAATAAAAAAGAAAAATTTTTATTTTTAAAAAGATGTTATTACACGTTTATTTTTAAATGATAAATTTGATTTTCTAACAATAAATTTGTAAGGAAAAAAAAGAAACGATCGTTAATTATTAATTTTAATCGAAGAATACAAAAAAAAAAAAAAAAATTTCTCCTCATTTTTTTTATTATTTTTTTTATTAATTATAATTTAAATTAATTTCTTTTTTTTTTAATGTTTGCAATCCTGATTAATAATTTAATTAAACAAATCGTTTCCGGTTTCCGGTTACCGTATAAAAAAAAAAAAATTTTTTTTTTTGTTTGGTCGTTATATATTTTCTTTTTTTTCCCCGTGCGCGTTCAGTTTACTTTATGACGTCATCACATGATGACAAACAAATCGGGTATGAGAATGAGGGAGTTTGGAAGGGGGGGAAAGAGGCGCGAAAAATTTAAAAAAATAATTTGTGATTTTTATTATTTATTTATTTATTTTTGTTTTTGCGAGCGTAAAAATTTTATTTTTTTTATTTCGTTTTTTTTTTTTTTTTTTTTTTTTAATTTAATTGGCTTAAAATAATCCGGAAACGGGTTTGAAAATATTATTTCCTGTAAAACGGAAACGAATAAAAATAAATAAAATGTTTTTACTGTTTTTTCAACGTGTTTTTTATGGTGGAAATGTTTTTGTTTTATTTTTGTTTTAAATTCAGTTACGTTTTAGATACAAATGACGATTACATAAAATCGTTCGATTTAAAAAAAAATTATTATTATTATTATTTTCTAATTAAAAAACACCCACGAGAGAAAATAACAAAAAAAATAAAAGAAAAGAAAAACAAACAACGGCAACTTGTTTGTTAAATTTATCGTATGA